CGTTTAAACAAACAAACAATCTCTTCAGCTGTATATACTAGTATTAGTACATCTTAAGAGTAGACGTTAAAAGTGAACTAATTACACGCCTAAAGGAATTTTCTAACTTTCCAAAATGTATTCTGAAATATATATTGAATATTTTTAATTATTTAAAAACACCTATTCTGAGATCGAATCCACGATCGATTGATTACTAGCCATACAGACTTCTCGACTTTACGGTATTGTATATGTTCTGTGGGATAAAAAGTAGTCGAATGTAAGCAATACATTCGACTACTTTTTAAGAGAGTTACCTACTCAATACTTTATTGAGTAGGTAACTCTAGTCATACATTAGTTTCTCGTTACTTGGCGAATTATAATCGTGTGGCTTAATCTAGGTCACTTGAGTGTATCGATTGTAATATTTCACGCACTACGCGAACCTGGTATGTCCTGATTGACGTATTAATCGGTCGAGTTATCGCCGAAGCCGAGTACTCACTAGACGGGCCTAGCTGTAATTTGTACAACAACGGGGCTCACTCGATTGGTAGGTGATGGTTTTTTCATCAGTGAACGGCGGTTTGTATATGTGGCAACGACAGCACGTTTACTGTTTATCATTTCTTAAATGACAAAAAAATCATAATATAACTATTAATACTAGTAAATTGAAGCGATCAATCCGTTAACAGCGCCATCTAGCGGTTTTATTAGAACTACATAATGGTTCATTATAATTTTAAATTACATTTATCGGTTCTGTAGCTAATCCGAGTCTCAGCGGTAACCATAGCGACCCGCCACAGTCGGTTCTCCAGTGCGTACCTCACCTCAGTTTCAATACGAATAGTCGAAAATTCCGAGGCACGATTCAGTTTAGCAAATACTAGCAACGACTAGCTCACGGCAGCGTGTGTTTAACAGCCAATCAAAGCAATTAGGCTTTCATCGAATATGTTTCTGTTTAGTTAACACACCTGTATTTCCAATCTATTTAGTTTTTAGATTTAGATGGAAAAAAAATTACAACACTCGGGTCTTGAATCGACATCCACTGCGTTCCGTGCCAGTAGTCTAATTCTAGTCTAAACCAATTGAGCTACCGTGTTCACGTCGTCCATTACTTTCAACCTATAGATACACGCAACTCTCGCACATTATAACGCCAAAAATATTAATAGAATAATCGACAAAGCGCTTCCAATTCAGTAGACGCATTTATACAAGCATTCTATACTATGCAAATAGTAATAAATAAAATATAAATTCAGTATTGCCCGTCCACTAGGAAGTCTTAACCTAAAAAGAACAAGACAAGACATACAGACAGACAGAGTTACTTTCGCATTTCTAATATCAGTAGTGATTTATTCGTTGAGAGATACAGAAGTATGTATGTTATTTCAGATTTCACTAGTCTGTAGCAGCATGTGCATTAAATATTAAGGCTAAGATAGATTTATGACACCTTCTCAACGTACACAGCTAAGTAATTATATGTTATATGTAAAATATCTAAAAGTAAACTCCATACTAGCCTCACGTATAATAGACAAGGCCTTGGTTTTGTCTTAAGACGAAAGTTATATTTACTTATAAGATATAAGGGGAGCGAGGTACAATATAACTGATATCAAAATAGATATAAGAGCTATTTCGATGCAAGAAAAACAGGTCCAAAGTACTGAAATCTGATCTACCTAATTCAGCTATTGGGCTTGTATACTGGTCTGATTAACGGGTTTACATCAGTTGACCGTGGGACACTTTAAATTTCGTTTGTAATTCGTTTATTAACATAGAGACCTGTACATAAGTTACATCTAAAATTTATAATAAAAAACGTACAATGGAAATAATGAAAAAGAAGTACAAATGTAAACTTTGTGTGTGTGCTCAGTAAGGTTTGATAAGCGCTGATTTTCAGTATATTCCTTATCAGATAGCAAGTAGTACCAAAAATTTTAATATTCTGGAAAATTAAATTGATTGAAACGAAACTTTAACGATTATAATTATGACATATTTCAGTGGTGGCGCGAATGTAAAACTATTGCTTAAGTAAAATAAAACTAAAGAGAATAAAAAAACATTAATCATATTTTCATTTTCTTTCTTGTAAAAGTAATACGCAGCAGGAATTTTTTAACTGTCCTTAATATCACGGATACATGGTCACCCTAACGGGCATTGGGACAAACCCGAATGAGGGCCTCCCCCACCCTTATAATTTATACCTGTGCCGTGAGTGAGTCGTATCCCCGGGCGTGACCTATTTATTTATGCTAACCGAGGGTGACTACCCTAAAACCCACACTGTTCTTTGTCAAAATTCAACCTGTTGGTATGCTTCAAAAGCTATATTCTTAGTATGATGATGAGTACTGCGGTTTTATCAGCTTCTTTATCATAGAGGGGGATAGACAAACGAGGTTCTTCTGGTTTCCCCAGCCATATAATACCACAACAAGATGGGCTGTATTTTGGCTGAGGAAATCCACAGATCCACAGAGAACGGAATATCGCAAATCCGTCTTGGTCACGAACCACCGGGATAGGCCGACAAATCAAAAATCGATTGTTTAAATCAAAGGTCGACGGCGCATCTTTTTCAGACGTTATTGTCACCTGCCAACAAATACATACTTATCTAACCTTCTCTGTTATAAAGTTATGGAACCATTTGTGGAATATAGAAATTGTCGCTACCTCAATTTTACTATCAAATATTAGTTTTTATAATTTACTAGTTGTGTCAGCGACTTCGTCTGCGTAGAATAGTTATTTTGAGCAAGCAAATTCATTAGTGCAAACCTCCTCATTATCTTATTAATTGAAGATGTTACCCGCGACGTCGTCCGGTCCCGTCTTTCTTGCGAGTTAATCTTAAAGACGTATATTGTCGCGGACATTTTTTAGATTCTTTAAAAACGAATCATTCTTTCATACATATTTTTGAGGTAGCTAGAACCACTTTCGCACCGTACGCAACGAAGATGCACAAGGATCATAATATTCCAAATTTTTTTCACATTCAGCGATGATTTATAGCCTACAACCATTCATCGATAAATGTTCTAACTAACATAAAAATAAAATAAAAACTCCAACCAGTAGTTTCTGAACATTTTTTCAACAGGTTTAAAACGCGACATCTGTCTTTCCGTGACCACGGCTGCTGCAAAACATCCGAAACGTCGGGCCGAAGTTAAAAATCATTTTCAAATAAGTTTAACTAATATATCGCGTTTTAAACCGTTAAAGTGTTTTATTGAAATGTGTACTACTCGTGTAAACTATAAACAGTATTTACATTTACAGACCCTTTGTAATGGGCATTGACATTGACACTCATTCGACGTGCAGTCGATGCTAATATTCTATAGTAACGATTTTATGTCAATCGGTCTTAGTTTAACGGCGATTGGATTCGATGTTTAAAAAGATTTCAAATTCGATTTTTCAAACTTGGCAAAAGACCACAACAACTATGGCCGATTTCAAACCATAGACGACTAGTGATGACCCTTTCATAGAGTGAAGTCGTTGCCAACGATGACACATGTATAAAGAAATATCGATTATATACTTATGGACGACCTCAACATTCAAAATCCCTTTTATTACGATTTTTTTAACTATGTCATTATTATTTAAATCGTTTGTAACGCATTTCAGCGATCGTGCATGATCGGCTTCTACCTTATATTGTCGTTGATTTTGCTTACATCCCATCCTTAGGGAGACGTCAAAGTAAAGAATGTTGCATTAATGCCCTTTAAAATGAAGTTGTGATATTTACTAAGTCAATTTGAGATAGTTAATTTGTTTAATATATAATGTAGTGTCGCAATGTGTTTTTAGTCTGAATCAATGTCAGAAAATCCCGATTTGATGTAAATTGTGTGTTTGTTTACCAAAAATGTCAAGTAAGAAAAAATACACTTTAGTTGCGTACTGACGTGTATTGTGCGGTTGAATTTAGCCGTTCAGCTCTGTGACCTTAGCTCAACAAGTTCAAATGTTAAAATTTGAGGGAAATCGGGAACGGAAGCAACGCTCCACCGCGTGGCCGTCGCGGCGGAAAGTTATTCCACACTTTCCGCTCGTGCTTCCGACGAAAACCGGTGTTTGGCGACATCGGTAATTAGTATCAGATCTGACCATTGGATGCCGGCTATGAATTACAAAAAATTAACACCCATCCATTTCACTATATTCCCAATGTGTAAACTACAAACAATGCTTTTAACAGTTTATAACGTGAAATATATTACTTACACTTATTTAAAATGTATTTTAACTACGGCCCGACTTTTTGGATGCTTTGCCCTGTGTACTAATCGCGTCAACTATACGTATATATTACGTATTTGCAGACTATACTGTTTTGTTATTTCTTTTTCAAAATGTGAACCAGTAAACAGTCAGCCAACAGTAAAATATATACATATTTTAGCTTTTGAGAAATTGTGACACGATTTGCACATCTGTTCAAATTTTTGTAAAATTCTGCTTATAAGAAGGCTTCTAAATTAACCAGTCCGTTTTGAACTATGAGTTTCAGTGTAAATAAATTATTATTTGTTTTGTATAGACAAGGAGTACTTCTCCCATATGACTGTGTCGATAAAATGATTTCGATGAACGCCACAAAATAGTCTCCTATAAAGTTTGGCCGTGTAAAGTACCATTAAAGACACCCAACTTTATAAATCCACTACGCATTCTCTTAACTGATAAACGAGCTTTGGCAACAAGCTCGTCGCGCTCCGGGTTAAGCCTACTTTCGGTCTCTGTCCTTTTAAACGAATAAGTAGATTATTCTTGCGATTAATAAACTTATTGAAATTATTAATAAATTCTGCACATCTTGCTGCCTTCGCATAAATATAAAGTATATTATATAAGTTAAAAGCATAAAATTCTACTTAAACATTAAAATACATTTTATTATATATTTCGTCATAGTCAATATAAGTTTACAGCGCTCAGGCCGTTACTTCAAAATGTTACTACCGTTCTGGTCGTTTTCATTCGGTGAGTATTTGCTTTTTTACGAATTCTTATCTAGGAAATGCTACTTCCGAGTAGCAGGCAAAAATTAAATAATCAAACGTGTTAATCATTTTCCAGCTTCGATAATCTGGGCTTGGGAAATAAATCCAAAACGGGATTTCGAAACGGGTACTCGTCCTGATATTAGACACAGTAATCCGCTAAGTGAACACATACCTAATTTCTATCATACGGAGACGAACAATTCGAATACTGAAGAATTGAAATCATATTTCAATTTTCTGTCACGACTCTCCGCCAGTATGATTTATAATATCCACAACAATATTATACATAATTACGGCCTACACGAAGTCGAAGCGAAAACAATAGACTCTAACTTCAACGCAACGCGCACGGAGTACCAGATAATTTTAAATGAATACTTCGGTAGAATGGCGAGGAACGTAAAATACAATGATAGTACTATATTTTTATTGGATTTCACGGACCTCTCGAACTTTTTATTGCAGTCCGTGATAGAAAGTAATCTTGCGGAACTCAAAGGAAAGTTTCTTTTGCCAAACTTCTGTTACAATCAACCGTCGAAGTACACTATTTTGAGGCAGCAAATGAAAATCGCTATAAACGTTATGGAAGTGGAAATTTGCACGAACCTGTCCATCTGCATAGGGAATTCGGTTTACACCGAATTCATAGTGGAGTGCTTGCGATATTTACTCGACGCAAGTGACGAGCGAATTAAGTCCTTTTTCGTCGGATTAAGCGATGTGTTATACGATTTTATGCACACTATTAAAACTACTGATAGGTTTCGCAAAAAAATTGAAACTTTCGCTCAAAAGAGTCCCGCCAATCATAAAGACGCTGTCGATTTCATCGACGAAGCCCTGACAGGCCAAGATACCGATATTTTCCAATCAAAATATACAATGTTAGTGAATACTATAAGACAGTTCGCTAAAGTCATCGACGATAACTATGATTTAACTGAGGAAAACGTGAGAATATTGGATGGATTGTCTACAAAACTTTATGGAATTAATGATGATTTTGATATCAAAAATGTACTCGACGACCTAGTTAGGAATTTGGAGCTCAACGTGAAGATATGGCCTCTGGAAGCTCAAAATAAATTAGATTATTGGTGGTTGCAAGTGGTCCAGTTAGCTTCCAGAATTTGAATACAACTAAATAGTATACAATAAAATTATGTTTTATTTAATCAATTAAATGCAGATGACGCATACCGGATGAATTACAATTATATTTATATAAAAATCGATTTGCAATGCTCTCTGCGTCTTTAACTTTTTAGCGGGGATATATAAGAAATAGTTTCGATCGGGCCACATAAATATGTCTGCCGTGCCCTACTTTCATGGGATTATGAAAAAATCTTCCCTCTACACTTCGACACACGCCTAATGACGGATGTCACTGCGCATTCGCGGTATAATGAGCGCTTCAAGACTATCTTGCACGTTGCCTCATTGTACCCTTAACAATGGATTGAAATGAAGCGATGCGACGCCAAAACATTCCTGCCGAGTATCCATAATCAATGGTATTGTATTTACGTGACTCGAATCGCAATTCACTCCATTCCTATAACCATCCTAACCATCCATATGGACAAAGTCCAAGTGTTTGTTTGTTCTTTGCAACCTCGTATAATCATTGTAATAATATATATTAATATTTAAGTTTTGTCTATTTACACGAGTAATACACATTATTTAAATGTTTATTAGTGTAGTAATTATCATGTTCCCAGGTTAGATTTTTCAAGGAATGCAGAGAAATTCAGGACATTGTAATAGTTTTAAAAACACTTTTTACGTATTTTTTGTTTAATTTAACGACGGCTTTGTGGCGGCCGTTTTCACGGGGGACTGAAAATGCAGGATGTCTTTAATTCCAAAATCAAATTGGCTACTCAGTAGTAGAAAAAATATGTACAAACCAGTGATAGTACATATTTTTTGTTATAAAAGTAATTATTAACAATAAAAAATAAATAAAAATAGAGTCTTCAAAGGCAAATCCGCGGGAGCAGTTGCATATAATCTATCGCATAGATTGTGAATTTTGTAATCGCTGCAGGTATTTTGAAGTTTGTTGACGTCGAGTTCGCAAAGTGAGCATGTCTATTGTCTATGGCATACTTGATTTGATCGAACGTTCAGGAATTTAAATATATAATGTATTATAATAGATTTGTCCCTTCAGCCCATTGTGTCCACGTTAGTGAAAAGGGCCTGTTAAATAAAATTGCTGTATGCGCCCGGCGATAATTTTCTTTCTCATTTTCTCTATTTTTTGCTTAATAAGTCTGCTCACTGCGCTCCATTCTAGCATTTAAGTTCTTTCTCCATTATAATTAATGCCCACTGTACAATAAACAAATAAATATAGCATCCGGCGTTCGCTTGACCGTGTCCCGGCTATGGGGACTGTTAAATCGCAGACTCCATTCGCACTTTTAAATAGGAACGTTTTGTTCACCGCACGAAACGAAATCTCTCAACCGAAAAAACATGACGTATTGGTTGCATTTTCTTCGACATTGGACTAAATTACACTTTGATATCAGGTTTTAATTTCTAATATCACAAATGCAAATAAACAAGAAACAAAACACATTAGAGCGTCCGACGAAAAAAATAATTTCATTTTTATAACATTAAACACTATTTGTTAATACTCATTTAAAATTATAAAACTTAAATGTTGGCCTATTTATTAATTGAGCGTCATTTGTGTTGCTATTTTAATAGTTATATTTTAAATAATTAATAGTATTTTAGTAATACTATAATATAAACTTGATACCAATTAAAAATAACGTTTCGTCGTTGAACGGTTATTTTAATTTAAAATATACAGAAAATACTCTAGGTTTCCTAGCTTCGATGTATTTTTTATTTGTTTCAACTGCGTTTCCAGTTAACGAACGTACTGTTGTTTGCTATTCTGTTACCAAAGTCCTAGATTAAAACGTCTTAGAGTACAGTCTATACTCATATTATAATATTTTCAAAATTCGGTTCAATAGTTTGTCTGTTTAAATTAAACGTGCCAATCTAAAACTACCCAACTACTGATTCGCTTTTCTCGTGCAAGAAACCCAAAAATGTGTATTAAAGAATTGTTTTGAAGTTACATGGCTGGGGTATTCCAGCTTCCATTATTGTCTTTCCTCTTCAACCGTAAAAAAATATTACGCATTTTAAACCGTTAAAAGTTTTTGGTTTAAATATACCTACTACTCGCGTAAACTAAAAAGGCTGTAAATAAAAAACCTCAAACAAATGAGTTGGGACGACTTGCTCAGGTTGTTATATTATTGCAGGTTGCCTTAAAACTGAAGCTCGCCGTCGAGTTTTAAAAAGCCTATATTTGCGTCTTAAACCTGTAGTGCGACATTCCGATGGGGTATTGTTACATAATGTAACGGCCGCGTCACTTAGGCTCAATTTGGCACAGATTAACCGAGCGAGGCAGGTCTTTTCACAAAATTACGCGCCAACGGCCGAATCGAGTCCTTGAGAACCTCTAATTGCGTAAACAACAGGTGCCCAACGTGGTAGTTATGTGTATCAGTTGTGTAGGTATTGGAAGGGCGTTCGTGTAAGGTAAAACAAGGCAACACGTTGGACTTCGCCTGGAAATCTATATATGAAATGGCTGGAGGAGTATTGAAATTATGCTTGGGTCACGAACCACCTAGAGATGAAAAAGCCTTAAGTTTAATCGCGCTTCGGCTGCAGTCTGTGGAATTCCGAATGGCCTAAGCCAAAATTGGTTGACAGTGCATCGTTGAGATGTAACATGACTGGGGTATTTCAGACGACCCCATCATAAATTGTTTATTTATTTCACTCAAAAAATAATGTGGTCTCTGACAACTTTATACCTTGGAGAACATACATTTGTCAAAGACTTTGTTTAAAATTTAATATATATAAGACGGCCTCTGTAGCTAAACGACTACAACACGCTGCCTAGCATTGCGTTAAGCGGTCCTAAATTCGAAACCCTAGGAAATATTATTTCGCGTTCGGACAGGGCTCAGCAATCTAATCGACTACTTGCCCCATGTGGGGAATGGGAAAAGGGGAAACGAGATTTCACTAAATATACATACTGCAATAATATCTCCCCTGCTTGCCATTTAGTAAGCTTTGAAACTGTAAAATAAATAGAAACGTTATTAAAAAAGTTTATGAAATGTTACTGCTTTGGAAGAGGTGGAAGTTTGTATTTGCAGAAGGGCCTTCGTTGAAACAACATTGCATTGACAAACTTCAGCAATGTGCAAAGTGGTGCTCGTATGAGATGCCCACATACACCACTGCTCTGTGAGAAAAAAAACAATCCCTATGCATTCGTTTATAACATTTCACATCTTTTAAACGTTACATAATTTAAGGCATTTTCATAACATATACAGCACTGATTTCTTGCATCTTCGATTAACAATTGTTTTTCCGAACATAATTTTTTCGCTACATACGTTATCCTTTAATCGAAAAATACACTGCTCTGCACGACTACAGCACTAATTAACCGAAATAATTTTGTCATTTTTCTCGGTAAGTTCTCTTTGACAAAGTGTGCGGACATCGGGATAGAAGTTGGGACGTAGTAAACACCACATTATAGAACTAGCTGTATCTGCGACTTCGTCCGCGCGTACAACGTTTATTTTGGGTGTCAAAATTTGTTCTTCGCAACTACAAATATTTTTTCGATTCGAAACAAACAAACTCTTCGGCTTTATAATATTAGTATAGATGATTCTCAAACGTCCGAGTGGCGCACAGTCCAATGTTATCCTGCGATGTATAACAGCGAGCATCGATGGCAAATATTGAGGAAACATTTTCAGTTGAGCGTTCCTCCAAACCCCAAACATCTTTGTCGTTTAAAGATTGATTAACGTCATAATAATCATTTACGAGCAGTCCTGTAAACTTGATGTCCCACGCTCGCGAATATTGACCCGTCGCACCGTTGCCACGCAATACAAGGACGAATCGACAAACACTCGTATATACTGTGTTGGCATGGATCTCATTTATATTCAAGGAAATGCGAGGTAAGCGTCGCTACACCGGTCACTACATTAGCGAGAGAATCGCAGAGATTATAACTGTACTAGTCGCACCCCGCAGTGTTACCTGAGTGGTTCTCTATAATATAATACCAATAGATAAGAGACAACATACAGACAAATAATTATATAATAATAAAACTAACTTAAATAATTTTTTGTAAACAGAGAACTCCTAGGTTTGAAGCTTGGAAAAAACGGTTTCAGCTTCAACATGTACCTAATTTATAAATACATATATTAATATGAAAAAATACGACGACCTCTAAATAGGTACATTGAACACCTGTTCATTAAATGTCCAATAACAAATATAACGCACAGAATTACGGACTTAAAGATTGTTGAACACAATAGAAAATAGGTAATTTAAAGTCTCCCCGTGACTGCTGCGAAAAATGCAAATCATCGGGCCATTGTAAAAAAGAGTTATTTTGCTTTATCTATATATAAATAGACTGTCCTTTTGTCCACGTAACATTAAAAATATGAATAAATTTAAGATTATTATTTTAATTATTATGACTATCAATATGTTGCTAGAATGAAGTCAATGTCACTAGTGTAAATGCCATGTGCTAAGCCGTTTTATGAAATGTGGCTTGTGAAACAGCCGTCGTTTTAACGAACGCCAGAGTTCAACTTGCAAAAAGCAACAAAAACAACATTCCATATACGTTATGTCAATCTTTGGTGAATCACACACCTCACGCCGACGCCGTAACAACTAACACTGTATTTTAAATTAGCCTCCCAATAACGTAATTTTTGCACGTGTTAAAAGACATCATCGTCAGTTTTATCTCTTCGCTTCGCTCGCATATTAAAAAAGTTGTACCGTACTCGTTTTCGAGAAATAAAGTCGGACGTCCATCTTATTTATATACTCATTAACAAGCGCACTTAAAAGTTCTCCTCGTTTAACTAATTTTTGACGTGGTCTTGGTGTAACGGTAACAATGCGTCTAATAATCAAAGTGCGCGTCCGATCACCACCAAGTCAAACATGATATCGATCAATGTATGATTTTTATTGAAACATTTTTGGGCTTTGTCTCGAAATCT